TTTAATCTAGCCTTTTTCTTTTGGTTAAATTCAGCTGTTTTTCTTCAATGTTTGAAATAATTAATATTATCAATTTTGGAGCTGAATTTGTCTCCGTCGAGAGTTGACTTTGACGCGAAATTAATGTTTGGTGATTTACAATTTTAGAGTAGGTTTTATATGCTTTCGTTTTCAATAGACATGCACCAGTCATTCTCTTATTGAAGTATTGCAGAACCAGTTATGATTGAAACTTAAAAGGGATTCTCTGTACTCTGTAGTGAAACCTAGTTTAGGCAAACATTTTTTTTCATATTTACATAAGCAATACAACAAAGTGTACTTTTTACTGCATGCATTGTATGTCGTTAAAAAATATTTATGGCATACAACTGAATGTCATATAAAGCAATACCGTAAAAAGTGTATATAAAGCAACATAGTAAAAAGTGATGCACTTTTTACAGCATGCAAAGCACGCTGTAATAGAACGTTGTTATTACTTTTTATGGCGTTCATATGCAAGCCGTAAAAAGTATGTCACATTTTATGGCATGCATTCGAGGAAGCCGTTAATTAAATTTATTCTTTTAATGGCATTCGGGAGTGTACGCCGTAAAAAGTGACATACGTCGTATGGGTGTGCATTAAGAAATTCCATAAATGTCAATTTAAGTTTTTTAAAAAATATTTATTTACATGTTTATCAACAAACCTATAATAATTACAAAACAAAGTTATATACAATAATCCATACATAATCAAACTTTCCATAGTTTCAATTAAAAAAAAAAAAAATTGAGTACAGTTCAATACAATGTGCCAAAATGTATAATTTATCCAAATAATTCTAAGAACTCAGCCTACTTAAAAAGTTAGATAGCAATATGAAAAAATTATAGAATACTAGTTTAAAAAAAATTGATTACGAAGTTTACAAAATATTCTATCTATATCGAAGTTTACTTCTTTGACCACAATTAAGCTATCCCACAAAAAAATCAACTCCCTGCACATCGCAAAAATAATAAGGGTTTAATTAATAAACTAAGAGTGAGAATTAAATATAACTCATAATTTAAGAAACTTCTACCATTTAAGCTTCTAAGTTAGCAAAGCCTTTCTTCTTGTTGTATGCATTATAGTCTGACTACCCCCGTCTTTCTGAATCCGTCTTTCTTTTCCCGCAAAATCAATAAGTATTGTATGAGCATAACTTTTATTAGGAATATGGAGAAGATACAGTAAGCAATTTAGAATAAGGAATGTAAAAATGTAATAAACTGACAATGAATAAGTATTCGCAAAAGCACGTTGAAAATGGAGATAACACAATTGAGAGAAAATTCTCAAAGTTCTTCTATTCAACAGAAAAATGCACAGAATTAAGAAGCAGATGACGTATATGCATTAGAGAACTATATCTTAACAAGCATTTTTATACAGAACCTTTTTCATCCTGTAATCTTCCAGACAACATTTATCTCATTTGAGAAATTCTAATTCTAATTCACAATAATATTGCCACAATAATATCATATCCCTGATAAAGAACAACAATTCATATTGTCTCAGAAGCATTAGATTGATATCAAAATAGATGAATAATGCGTATAATTTAATACTAAAATTCAATAATTGTAAATTATGCTAATACCAAACGGAAATTCCTATCTAATAACACCAAATAAGAGTTCCTGCTGGACATGAAATTACAGCTCACCTGCATAAAGTTAAGAAATAAATGGTTAAGCCCATCATTTCAACTCAAATCTTGTTCCCAGTCAATGGAATTCACAAATTCTTGAAACCCCATCTCCCATATCTCCAATTTTCCAACACTAATCGGCTAAATTAGGGTTACAATAGAAAAGAATAAAAGTCTATCAAAACTGAAAACTCTTTTTCATGGGTTAGAAATTAGAATAGACTACAAACCTAAAACTCTTGAATGTCTAGGAGTATTCTCAATTGAGCAAAGAAGAGAGCAGCATCGTTCGATAACATTCTGGTGGCTAATTGAACGACTTTGGAAGGAAATGGAAAAGGGCTTTGGTATTGAATAGCTCTCTGCAGTTGAACAATGGAATAATTAATTGACAGGGGAAAAAGCAACAATTGAATGGTTGACTGAAAGGGGAAAAGCAAACGAACTGTCGAGAAAAGAGAAGGTTTTGCCGAACCGCCAGGAAGAAGGAGAAGCGATATGTAAGGGGAAAAAAAAGGAAGTGGAAAAAGAACGAAAAGGGGAATTTTTTTATTTCTTTTTTACGGCGTGAACAAATGCATGCCATAAAAATTCCCTTTTTTTTTATTTATATTTTTATGGCGTAGGTTATTTTAAAAAATAAATCTAAAAATCACAAATATTTTCTTTTTCAATCTATACGAGAATCTCACGGCACCTTTTATGGCACTCTATAAATATACGCCATTAATACCCAACTTTTACGGCTTTTTAAAAATGAATGTCATAAATACTTTAAATAATTGAATTATTACATCACACATTTAAGGCATGCCATAAGTGAATGCAGTAAAAAGCTACATTTTGTAGCTGTGAAGGGAGTATCATATATTTACCTTGTTATATATTTCTCTTATCAAAAGCTAATATTTTTACATTAATGACACATTTATTTCTTTTTTAAATTAAACAGCGGCATGTATATTAAAATAAATATAGAAAATAATGGCATTATTACAATAATATGGTCTTAATTTTGTTTTCTTTTTTCTATTTAAATTAAGCAGTAACATGTATTATTACAAAAATATAAAAAACATAGTACAGTAGCAAGCCAGGGAGAACTAATTTTGTCATGATTCATTAATAGTGATTAATTTTTGCTTATTTTCTCTTATTTCTTTTTGTTTTGATCACCAGATTATGCTTTTGCATGTTAACTAACACAATAACATGCAGACAGAAATGAATGTGCTTGTATGCATGAGAAGCTTGTAAACATGATAAATATATACTATATATACACACATTACACACACACACACGATAAATATATACTACACACACAGTGTGTGTGTGTGAGTGAGAGAGAGAGAGAGATTATTTATAAAAGTTTTATTCATAGATAAATTGGCCATAACAGGGGTTCTACATTATACATCAAGCAGATTAACCTGAAATATTGAAAATAATTAATAAAGCACACCTGCATCTGCCGCTTAATATTAATTACAAGAGATAATAAATCTACTTATACATGCATGTTTATGAATTTCGTCCTGTGCTCTTGTTTGCAAAAGAATGACCAATACCAGGACTGTGACCTGGTCCTGTGGGTCGAAAGTCATTAGTCTTTCCTGCAATGTTGTCCCTTTGGGCTGGAAAAGAGTGGCCAATTCCAGGACTCTTTCCTGGTGTTGTAGGACGAAAACCATTTACATCTGCTGCATTAGAACTGTCAATTTCCTGTTTTTGATTAGTTGGTGGGGGAATGCGCTCTTGTCCCACAATTTGAGGGGAAGCATTAGCAGGAAGAGTAGCTGGAATATCTCGTTTTTCTTGTTCCTTAAATGGTTTTAGTCGCCTTGCTTCGATAGGTGAAATTTGAAGGCAGGAAAAACCAGCAAGAAGGAACAGAAATATAGAGATATTTTGTATGTAGGCCATGAAAGGAAAGTGGATATGCAAATGTAGTTCTTTGCTTCTTTAATCAGTGTGCGTTTTGGAGATGAATATTTCGATTTCAGAATTGTCTTGGTATTTATAG